TCCATTCTTTCCATCACACAGATTTGTTATCTCTATGTGAGAGCATTTCTTTCTCCTTTATTTTCCTGTCCTTTGGATGACTTTTTCCCTCTCCTTTTGGTCATCCTTTTTCTTCTAAGTGGTTTATTTGCCTGCCTCACCCTCACCTCTCATTTGACTACAAACTTACTGAGGGCAAACTTTTGCTTTATTCTTTCTGTCAGGGCCTGAGACTTAGTAGGTATTTAATGAATGTTTGCAAGGTTGATAGAGGGGTTGGTAGGGTGGGGGGTACATGAGTGGATGTGGTGGGAGGGGAGATGAAACATTTTGGCCCTGAAGAAAGACTCCCTGCTTATCATTGATTATTTGTTGTGAAGGTAGTGTGGTTATGTCTTCTATTCTAGTTTTCAAAGAGAAGTAAACTAAAGATGAGAAACAAAGCAATTTGTGTGAATTCCTACAGGAAAAGAAAGAACTCTTTGTCATGTTCCCAGATGCATCAAGCCACTGCTCGGATCCTCCATACGTGCTTGGCAGCTTCTGGAGAATGCCTGCATTTTTGTTGGAATGCGAACTTATGGTTTTAGAGTTGGGTATTTGAGAACAGATGCTTAGACCACGAAGTCACTGTAGATGAGTGTGGTTGCAATATGCCCCATTTTACATCAATTAAATAGAGCACTAGGCTTCTGGCCCATGGTGCAGGCCCCAGAGGAATCTCAGCTGTCCCTGGATAGCTATCTGCAGTCTTAACACAGTCATTTCAGTGGTGTTGTAATTAGATAGCATAAATTGAAAGAGGGATTTCATGTTTCAAAATTATTGAATTTGGGTCTTATTTTGCAAATGCAGCATTGTCTTAGTTACACTGAGAAAGGGGATAGTTAAAAGCCTTAAGGGGCCAGACAGTGATGCACTGGTAAAAAAGGATGCTCTGCAAGGCTGACCCACGTGGTGGGGTTCTGGGTTCATGTGCAGAGTCTTCCCTGGGACAGGCATGTGAGTACTTATGATCTGGGGCTGGCTGAAGCTAGAGGTGGATCGCAGTGTCAGGATCCTGTTGGGAATGCTTTCTCTGTTTCTTTTTCTGTCTCTGTCTCTCTAGAAAAAAGGAAAATTATGTAAACTTAAAAAACCCTGGGATCAGCATTTGGTGTAATGGCTATGTTACTGGACTCCCATGTAGTAGACCACGGTTCGAGTCCCGGACCCAGTGGCTTAGACTCATGCAGGGCGTGTGTGCGTACATGCCCCAGATCCCGAGAGGAGAGAGGAGGAGGAGGGTTTGCAGCATGGCCATCCTCCCTGAGGGGTGACTTCTCGCTTTCTGTCTCTGTCTCTCTCTGTCTTTCTGGTGAGTGCACACGCCATGTAGCAAGGACCCCTCCAAAAAAAAAAAAAAGATCCTTAAGACACTCCTATCCCCATCTAAGAATTACTATTATAGTATAAAATTACTCTGTTTAGTTGATGTAAAATGGGGCATATTGCAACCACACTCATCTGTGGTTGCAATATTTTAATGTCATTTCTTAGCGTTTACTGTTATGTGTGATTATGTAATAGAGCTATGTATTGAATTAATATAAAACTCATTGAAAATGTCTGGCACACAGTGCAGACTAGATAAATAATAACTATCCTTTATTTTTTAAATAAATATTCATGGAACCAGCAGTTGACATAATGGCTATGTTACTGGACTCCCATGTAGTCAACCATGGTTCGAGTCACAGTCCCAGCAGCTTAAACTCAAACGCTGGGCATGTGTGTGCGTGTGCCCACGATCCCCAGAGGAGAATGGAGGAGAAGAGATTGCAGCATGGCCATCCCTCCTGTGGGGTCATGTCTTGTTTTCTGTCTTTCTGGCAAGTGCGTGTGCCCTATAGCAAAAACCTCTCCAAAAAAAAAAAAAAAATTATTTAATTTCATTTCGTAGTAGTAGTATTTTTCATTTGCCGTAGGGCATGTGCACTCACCAGAGAGAGAGAGAAAGTGAGAAAGCAAGCCACTGGGTCTGGGAGTCGCATTGTAGTTGGCCTTACGGGAGTCCAGCATACCATACCACCTGCTGGCCCCTGCAATCCTTTATGTTTTTCACATGAAAAAGTCTGTGAAGTAGGGTCTCATTTTAAAGTTACAGAGTTCCTTGCTGAGGCTAAAAGTTCGTATCTCTCCGACACGCCTCTTTTGAATGATGTTCTCTTTGAATCAGTAGCTGTTGTTCATTAAAATCAATGTGGTTGGGATGAGCCAATGGTGTAGTGATTAAGGTACTGGACTCCCCACATGGCCGACCGGAGTTTAAGTCCTGGACCGATGGCTTGAAACATTCCAAGTGTATGTGCATGCCTGCCCTAAATCCCAAGAGGAGAACGGAGGAGAAGGAATTGTGGCATGGTTATCCTGCCAGGAGGGAAGTGTGATTTTTTTGCTTTCTGTGTCTCTGTCTCTGGCAAGTGCATAAGCCCTATAGCAAAAAAAAAAAAAAAAAAAAAAAGAACCTCTTAAAAAATTTAGTTTGATATCTTTTTTTAAAAAAGAATTATTTATTTTATCTTTCTTTCTTATTTTAACCAGAGTGAAAGAGAAAGAAAGAGAGAGAAAAACGAGAAAGCAAGCTGTCAGGTCCAAGACTCGAGCCATGGTCGCCCATGTGGGATTCCAGTGCCCTTAACCACCACTCCCCCTGCCTCCCCCCAGTTTGATTATCTTCTGACACCTACTCATTGAGTTCTGTGGAGAAAGAAGGAGTGGGTTAGGTGAGGGCAGAAGATGGGCTGTTGGGGCTTCAGCATAAACCTGGGGGTGCTGGCTCCTGCCTTTACAGTGGTCGTTCCTGCCCAGGTTAGGACAGCTGATTATGTAAATCATAATGACACAATGAAGAGTATCACGGATTTATGTCCTGGCAGCTATGGAGCTGATCATGTGTATGCGCTCACTCAGTGCTCACCACCACCCAGTGGAAGCATCGTCTCTGTGGTACAGAAGAGAGGGACGTGGGGGTGGGGGGAGTTGGGTGATCTACCCGGGTCCTCTAGCTGGCAAGTGACCTGAGCTGGCTCTCCAGGGCTGTGTCAGGTTGGGCTGGGTTATATTATTTTTAGTTAAGGAACAGCACATGGCTGTGAATTATTCTGGGGTAGATACAGTTCGCTACTGAAAAGTACCTTTGTGCCAGCTAGCTCTATATAGCGAGGCCCTTTTCATGCTGAAGTCATAGGTGGTCTGTACTAATAATTTCTGCTGAGAGCTGCAGTTGCTGTTAATGTGGTCACAGTGCACTAAGAAATCACCCACATGCCTTTACCGGTCACCTCCTCCATAAGTATCAGTCTCTATAAGAAAGACATTTTTATTTGCTATTGAGGTCAAAATGCTGCTAAGTGCCACCTTGTCAAAACAAATCAAGGCAACAGTGACCTTCCAAGTCTCATTGTGTGGCAACTGCTTTTGATTACAATATAGGACATCTTTCATATGACTAGCTGTGCAGTATCTTTCAGGAAAATTAGGAGGGAGAGTTTTATAAGGAATATTCTCCAAAGATATGGAAGCCTCAGGTGAGTGGAGAGGTCAGCAAAGCCACAGGGGTGAAGGGGGATAACAGTGTGGGTGTAGGAGGTATTGGCTCTAAGGAAAGCCAGAAATCCAAGACCTCATGTGGAAATTTAACTCTGAACATTCAAGACTTGGATTTCAGGATGAAATACCATAGGAATACTTTGAACTGTCTTGAGGGCACAGCAGTCGACCTGGACATGCTGGACATACCGCGATCCCGGCTGATAGGAAAGGCTAGGGGGATCGCTGCATGAGACCCTATTGAGAGTCTCTCTTCTCTCTCTCTGGCTCTGTTTGTCTTTCACTTTCGTGAACGAATTACACTTAAAAAAATATATTTAAAGTGAGCCATTAGTTGTCAATACCATTGTTCTTCCCTTGAGTTGACTGCTTAGAGGGAGACTGACTGTATTCCAGTGGACATCCTGGGACAGTCCTAGATGTCACATGCTCCAACCAGGGTGAAGTAGTATTTTTACCATTTCTGAGACATGATGTGTTCTTTCTTATCTTTCCAAGGGAAAGATTTCCAAGATCACAGTGCGTTTCTGAAGAGTAGTGCTGACAGTATGTGAAAGCCACAAATGAACATTTTCTCCATTTTTCTTTTTCAGACAGCGATGATCTTCAAAATGAAGACTCCGGGAAATTCTAGGTTCTCTATAGGAACTACAGAAGTTGAAGGAAAGAAAATTTATAAAAGGAAATTGTTTTGAAAGTATGTTTACAACTAACTGATACAGTAGAGTTTTTTTTTTGTTTTTTTTTTGTTTGTTTGTTTCTTTGTTTGTTTTAAATAATAAAACACTTTGAGAAGATTGTATTTATGGTAAAAGGAAACTGGACTAACAATGAGGCCAAAGACTTTTCCTGCCACCACTTATTCTGGAAATAGTCGACAGCGATTGCAAGAGATCCGAGAGGGGTTAAAGCAGCCTTCCAAGTCTGCAGTGCAGGTGTTATCTGTGGGACCAAACGGTGACACTTCTCTGGATGCCAAAGTTCTGGGGAGCAAGGATGCCTCCAGGCAGCAGCAACAGATGAGAGCAACCCCGAAGTTTGGACCTTATCAAAAAGCACTGAGGGAAATCAGATATTCTTTGTTGCCTTTTGCTAATGAATCGGGCACCTCCACAGCTGCAGAAGTAAACCGTCAAATGCTGCAGGAGCTGGTGAATGCAGGGTGTGACCAGGTGGGTACAGACCTCCCTCAAGGCTTCCTGCAGTGGCAGTTACAGTGGTGGCCCCTTTGGAGGTCCACAGGGGTGGCCAGAATCCGTGGCAGCTACTTGGAGGCTTTGAAGTGGTTATTACTGTGCATAAAAGTATTTCTAGGTTAAAAACCCAAGGTCCCTTTAATGTATCATTGAGCTGATCTTAACCTTCTCTCTTAAAAAGGTCTTTTTAGCTGCATTTTTTTTTCCAGGCAAGATCTAGAAGTTTCTGTACTCTCCTGAAATTGTACCACATGTCATTTCTGTCCTGTTTTTGTGAGATCAGAAGGGCTTTCCTCCTTAGCCCTTTCTTTGGGGTGGATTTGGGGTCAATCTGAGCTGTTGTGGAGAAGAGGCCAGTTGCCCTTTTCATGTTTTTGGTCTGTGCATTTTTTTTCTTAGGTAAGGGGAGGATTGATTAGCGCAACTGGCTCTTTTCTGATCTGTTCTTCTCCTATTTAAAAGAATGGAGTGTAGAAAAGAAAAAGCTTGAGAAATCATCAAAATGGTGGCCACCCAGTCTAACTTCTCAGTTGCTTAAGAATAAAGGATACCGTGGGGCTAGCAGATAGCATAGCGGTTACATTGTTGGATGCTCACATGGCCGACTGCGGTTTGGGTCCCAGACCCAGTGGCTTGAAACTCACGCCAGATCCCGGTGGTTTCCTTAATGGAGACTGACTGATTTCTCACTTCTTGTCTCTCTCTCTTTCTCTCCAGTGAGCACACACACCCTAAGGCAATGATCTTTCAAAAATTAAAATAGAGAGGATACATTAATGGAGGTGGCACCAATTATGCATGAATATACAATATAGAGCTATATGTTTATGATCTCTTAGCAAGTCATGTACCCGGAAAACATATGGCAGGGCCCTATAAAGTGGGACTAGTGTCCAACCAAGTAAAAACGTCCTTAGTAAAATGGGATGGTGTTATGAAGTGATTGATGAAAGCCAATTCTTTATTACTGCCATTTTAAAATCAGAGTTACATGACATAGAAATAGACTACATATTTTTGTTGACTTGGAAAATTAATAAGATTTCATGCTCGAAGCACTTCAGGATGGCTTGAGTACATTTAGTTTTTCAGAAATAACCTAATTCCATCGCTCTGGCATGGCAGTTGTGGGAAAAAGGCTAATACACTGTCATCTTTTACTTTTAAGAGTAATTTCAATCCTCTTATTAGAGTTCATTACCACAGAATTTACCTAGAGAATTGACATTTTTCAGGTGCTGTGTTTATGAAATGAAAGTTGCTATTTTGTAGGGGGCTTCCTTGATGCTCTAGGATGTACTGGGCTTAGCTTGTGTATAGCAGGCATTGTTATGTCGAGTTGCTGTTATAAAGCACAGGATCGTGAGTAATGTGGTGCAAAGTGTTTAGCAGACAACAGAGGCATGACCTCTCTCATTGTCAAAGTATGAAGTTCAGTATGCCGCCAAATGCTATCCCCTGACAAATGGAATTAGAGGGTTTTTGAAAGTAGGGAAGAAGCTTTGGGGGGGAGGGATATTGGAGTAAGATTGCAGAGAGATTTCAGGCCAACAGCAAAGCTCACAATCTTCCCATATGAATCACTTGCAAACAAAAGAAGCCATCAGCGTCCTGGTGTTCTTTGCAGTTCCTTTTCTGCTGTGAGAAAAAAGAAACAAAGGAATAATCCAAAATACAGGTGGGATCTTATTAGGGTAAAATCCATTAGTGATAATTATAGTTCGAATAATGAACCTGGCCCTGTTTCAAATACAGTAAAATACAGATACAATAAAATTAAGGATCATGACACTAGTGAACTTCCCATCAACATTTAATTTATATTAATTGCTAGCAGAAAGAGGTCTATTAATTATACGTAGTGCTCCTAAAATAATTCAATTGGCTTGGTGTATAGTGTTACTTTTTAACTTAAAACATCTGTGCCTCCACCCTTACCCTTAGACTCAGACTGGTAGGACAATCATGTGAATCCAGATAAGGTGAGAGAAGATCAACAGTACCTTTAGAGTCGGGTGTCTGTTGGATAAAGCAGGTTATTAACATTCTAGTATAATAGGTAGAGAGAATTCCCATTGTTGCTGCTTTTTTCCCTTTGTCTCCTATCGTGTTGCCTTTTAATTTTAGATGCAGTTTTGTTCTTTATTTGGGGTATAAATGCTATATTTAATCTCTCTGTTAATCAGAATGGCAGTGAGGCCATGTCTTCCCAAGGTCTCACGGGTGTCTTTTGGTGGTACACGTTCCACATATGTAGGATTTTGTTTATTGTACATCATACCTACGTTTTTTTTCTTTTAATCTTTTTTTTTTAATGTTGCCAGAGGGTGTGCACACTCAGTAGAGAAAGAGAAAGGGAAAGTGAGAAAGCACCCCCCCATAGGGCGTGGTCATGCTGCAACCCCTTCTCCTCCATCCCTCCCTCCTTTCGGATTTGGGCATGCATGCACGCAGGTGCACCTAGAATGTTTCTCAAGCCGCTTGGTGAGGACTCAGACTGCTCAGGTAGCCATGTGGGATGCAGCTGCCTTAATCAACATACCGCAGACTGTCTCCATTAGCATTTTTTAAAGGGATTTTTGCTGTAGGGGACATGTGCACGCCAGAGAGACAGAGACGTAGAAAGTGAGAAATTATCGCCCAGGGGGGATGGCCACACTGAAGTCCCTTCTCCTTCATTCTTCTCTTGGTATCTTGGGCACACACACACACGCACCTGGTGTGAGTTTTAAGCCTTTGGGTCTGGGACTTGAACTGTGGTCAACTACATGGGAATCTAGCAGCATAATTATTATGCCATCTGCTGGTCCCATATTTTTAAAATTTGGACTAAGGTTCTTTTGAAAATACTTGATTGAATGTTTGTAAATGGGTGTTTTTGTTTGCTTTTGTTTTTGTTTTTTAATTATTAAAGCAAAATTTACCTTAAGAGAAAGTGCACTATTCCTAAGCATACACCACAGTGAGTTTTCACATACTGAGAATGCCCAGGTAGCCAGCATATATGGCAATATATATATTTTTTTTTTTGGAGAGGTCTTTTTTTGCTATAGGGTGTGTGTGCTTGCCAGACAGACAGAGAGAGACATAGAGACAGAAAGCGAGAAATCACCCCCCAGGGGGGATGGTCACGCCGTAATCCCTTCTCCTCCATTCTCCTCTCGGGATCTTGGGCACACACGCACACGCACCCGGCGTGAGTTTTAAGCCACCGGGTCCGGGACACGAACCACGGTCGACTACATGGGAGTCCAACAACATAGCCATTACACCAACTGCTGGTCCCTGAAGGAGCTGTTCTTTAAGAAATTTTTTGGTTATGAGTGCCATAGCTTGTAGCATTGGGTACTTGTTAATGGTTTTAAGTAACCATTTAAATTAAGTTTTTATCTCTCTTCTAAAATTTCATTCCAATTTCCCTTTTAATCTTTGTGGTTTCAAATAACCATTTAAATTTTTTTTTTTTTTAACTTTGCCAGAAGGTGTGTATGCTTGCCAGAGAGAGAAAGTGAAAAAGCACTTTCATGGGGGATGGTCACGCCACAATCCCTTCTCTTCCAGCTCTCCCTCCTTTTGGGATTTTGAGCACACATGTGCACACACTGCATGACTCTCAAGGCACCAGATTTACAGATCTAATTGTGGAATTGACCATGTGAGATCTAGCCACCTTAACCACCAGACCAGGGAGCCAGCCCCCAAGTGGCCATATTATCTGTTTTCCCTCTTACTTTATTTTATTATTTTGTTTTAAAAACCACTGATTGGGGCCAGCAGGTGATGTCGTGGTCAAGGTGCTGGACTTTGACATGGTCAACTGCAACTTGAGTCCCAGACCCAGCGAGTTGAAACTCACACCAGGTGCATGTGAGTGCGTGTCCAAAATCCTGAGAAGAGAATGGAAGAGAAGGGACTGTGGCCTGGCTGTCCCCCTGGGGGATGATTTCTCACTTTCTGTCTCTCTGTCTTTCTGGTAAACACACATGTGCTATAGCAAAAACATAAAACAAACAAAACCACTCAAAAAACAAAAACAAAGAGAGAAAACCAAAAAACCCACTGATTTGATTTTGCAGCGATGTTAGCATGGGTCCCATTTCTCTATTCCACCGAAGCATGTGACTTGTTTTCTCTTGTTGAGTGGCAGTGGATTAACAGGTGCAGCACCTCTACCATGTGGGCAGAGAAGGGTTTTCTGGCTCACTGCACTCAACCTGTAACAGTGCCTGGGGTCTTGTGAGAGGCACTCAATCCCACTGCATCCCTTAGAGGAAGATGTGAATACTAGGAAGTTTCCCTTGAGAAATTGGTATTTGCTTTTTCTCTATGGACATCCTATCTACTAGTCTCCCGCTGATCTGTGGAGGGGTGTTCAGTCTGTGGCTCAGTGTAGGTACATTTCTCTGGTCCTGAATTTCTGTGGCAGCCATTTATTTTCCAAATCTTGATTTAATATAGTTCTTTTCTACTTTATTATATGTGTCTAAGTGCTTTACATTTTATATGGACAAACGGATTTTATTGCACCAAATTTGGCATAGAGAAACCACGAATGGCCAGGATGTGCATTCAGAGAAGGCTTCCTGAGAACAATGGTCATAGCACCAAAAGAATCTGGTAATCTCGTTCATAAGAAAAAGCATGAATTCTTTACTTTCTCAAGCCGAAACATTCAGTTTCTTGGTCGATCTTACACATTACTTGTATGCAGCTGCCGAGAGTGAGACCTGGGGCTTGTAGGTCTCTCACCAGACTGTGGACGATGTCTGCAGAGGTCCCGTGTGCAGACATTGTCTGAAGCGCTTGCTGCATAGCATCTCATGAAAACTATACACTAGTTGTCTTAGTTCATGAGTGTGCTGTTTACAGGAATACCTGACACTGGGTGATTTATAAACAAAAGAGATTTGAGGCAGGTCCTATAGCCTAGCCATTAAGGGAGCTGGATCCCACGTGGCCAACCACAGTTTGAGTCC